GATCTAGGACCCACTTGTGTGTCTTTGTAGTGTTGCAGAGTATCCACAAAGCACTATTCCAGAATCACGTTTAAAATGACTCAATTCCATCCCTGCTCTCTTTAAATACATGCCACAACCAAATCAAGATCTGAACTACTACGTCTTTTGTCTGAGCAGCAGAGCTGACGAATGTTTTCCATCTTTTCTGATTTGGCACCATAACCAGGAAGCAGGACATCAATGACAGGTTCCAGAAGTCAGTGTTGACCACACCACTTCCTTCTGCTGTTTGAAATCAGTCTTGCACAGAGAAAACAACCTTGCATAGATGTATCTCAGTCAGTTTACTACTCTATTCAAAAGACAGAATATTGATATTTTCTAACACCAAGAGGTTAAGTACATAAAGGTAAGCACACACAAAAGACTTTGCACAATAACTCCCTTGTATTTCCGACCCTGGGAACACTGAAAAAGGATGAAAATCATGCATCCTTAACCATTTGATATATTTTAATTTCATTATTCCAATGAATAATGGCCACCTTCCAAGGCAGCTCATAGCATGTTAATGCAGGAAGGAAAAGTCTAACCTCTCAACCTTCTCATTATTCAACTTGCTATCTCCTGCTTCCTGATTGTTACTTGGAGATTTAATTAGGCAACATTAAAAAAAGCAGTATGCCAATAATATGGGTGTCATCAAGGGAATAGAAAGGGGAAAATATTTTCTGCCATTCCTCTGAATGTTGCCATCTAAAGATGGATTGACTCGGATATACACCACTCTAAAACTGGAAGGTGACAGGGTGATGTTGCCCATACAACAGCTTTTCTGATGACTCACTGAATGATGTAGCAATATGACTAAATCCACTTGTTGGTCCCAAACAGAATAGATAGACACAGGGAATGAATGGGACTTCCATGAATGTTGACTCAGCAAGTCCAGTACAGTCAGTGGGCATTCTTCAGTTGAGACTGCTAGCTGGATTTGGCCATTTGTCTGGAATTAAGGGGAAAGGTACGACAGGAAGAGTTCTGCAATTCTTGGGCTGATCCCACATGGGATGCTGAAGGGATACTGAATCAGCTCACAAGATATCCAACACAGACACTGTCTGGAAGCAGCCTCTCATGAGTCAGAGATTTTGTCCTGGGGACTCACCTCTGAGCTGAACGGATTACGACAGAAGGCCGGCTTACACTGTGGTCACCCCAGGATGACCCCTCAGAAGCTTTTTTCCCACATAGGCCAGCCAATTCTTTACAATGAGTCATGAGCAAATGACCTCACATGATTCTCTTATCCTAAATCAGTGAGTGATGGGAGGGGGCATGGCTGGGGACACTTTTTGGCCCTCAGGTGGTGAATACAGTATGTTGTGTTGAAAGCTGCCTCTGAAATAATCCAGTGACTGCCAGGCACTTTTAATTTGGGGGATTAGTAATTTTCCTGAGAAATCATCAAAAGGAAGAATAAAAATATGCATCCCTGTCTATTCCACTCCCGCCTCTACCCTGTGTTTCTGTCTGGATGGTGATTCTTATTTCAAATGAATGGGCTATCCACTGCAGTGAGTGTTCCTTTGCAGGCATGTAAGCGTCCAAATGTTCAATTACTGTTGAGCACATCCCCAAAAACTGCTGAGTACTAATCCTTATCCTGCTCCTGACTAATGAACAGCCTCACATTGCGTGCCTCAGTTTCCCACTCGTTAACAGAGGAACTCTCTTTCTTAATGAGGTCTCTTTAATTTGAGAGTGCTTTCATAACCCACAAAGATTATTCATACTTTAAGAACAGCGCCTTTTAATAGTTGGATACTCAGCATTGGGCTGTGCTGCATTGTGCAGAATTTTAAAAGCTAAACAGGGCTGGGCCCGGTTATTATTATGATTAACGTGCTACACACGTCCAGAGTGTCTCTCATCTGGACATCTGACAGCGCTTCACAAATGCTAGTTAATGATTATTTGGTTAGACGAGACCACCCAAGGGGGAAACCATCTTATGGAACGTTGCGTGTCTTGATTATTGTCTCTTGCAAGCCTAAAGCAGGCACATTTGCAAGAAAAATACACTGTTTCCCTCAGAGATTAATAAACCAGTTTAGTGTCATGCAAGAGAAAGTGGATGGTTTGCTTCTACTGACTGCTCGTCAGATCTTCCTCTTAATATATGGTTTATCATCATGTCTGGGCTGGACTCACTTGACCTGGTGTTCTACATGCACAACTCTGAAGACAGACTCTTGAGTGGCTCCTGATTCTGGCGCAACCTTCTTAAAGGGTGGGGAAACAGGACTGTATTAGTGAGCAAGCCAATTATTCTAAGACTTGTCTTGGCATAACTGAAGCTAAACATATCTTTTCAACTGTTCCTAGCTATGTAAATACCTGAAGTTGTTTGGGTATATAATATTACCAAATACAACTGTCTTATGATTTCGGTGGTATACATACATACAGACTATTCTTAGGCCCATTAGTTACCACTTGGCACAGAATAATTATAGGTGACAGTACAAGGCAGATTTTTAAAAGGGTGTATCAGTTTTTCAGAATGGCAAGAAGTTTACATACTTTTAATTTAACTGTGCTAACCAACCTCGTTGCATTCAGGTCAACATTTGTTGTTGTTGGCCAGCATGAATGTTCTGTTGGGTCTTTGGCACATGGTGTGGCCACAGTGGAAGAATAAAGGAAAGCAGGTGGTGTACAATTTTGAAATTCCACTCTGGAATTTAAACACACATCTCTCCAAATCCTTCAAATGTTGTTATTCTATCTTCCTTTTTAAAAAAAAAAGAAAAAAAAGTGACTTTCATTGCATTTTATTGCATTTAATGGGAAGGAAGTCATGCTGGCATTCTCTTTCCACCTGTATCTTCTGATGCTGAGCAAGTGTGTAACATCACGGCATGTCCTTATACAGGGGATGGATAAAGTAGATAGAAGGAAGCTCTTTTCCCTCACACGCAATACCAGAACCAGTGGACATCCACTCCAATTGAGTGTTGGAAGAGAACAGACCAAAGAAAACATTTCTTTATCCAGTGTGTTATTGGTCTGTAGAACTCCTTGCCACAGGATGTGGTAATGGCATCTGGTGTAGATGCCTTGAAAAGGGGATTAGACAGATTCCTGGAGGAAAAGTCCACTGCAGATTACAAGCCATGATTGGAATGTATAATCTCCCGGCTTAAAAGGAAGGGACTTCAAAATGCTAGATCAGGAGACAGCTATTTAGTTGTCTCCTGTGCACCCAGAGGCATCTGGTGGGGCTACTGTGAGATACAGGAAGCTGGACTAGATGGGCCCTTGGCCTGATCCAGCAGGGCTCTTGTGTTCTTATGTCCTCCAAAATATTATACAACCTCCAAAGAAGCCAAGAAATTATTCTCTTCTGCAGTTAGTCATGCAGTATGTATCAGGCTGCAATAGCTTACTGTAGCCCAGTGATCTATGACGCAAGCTTGGTACACAGTAGAACCAGCAACTACCAGATCCACAAGCATGTACAGAATCATCCACCAGATATTCCTGTACAAGAAATGGCTACCGAAAACAGACATTTATGATGAAACACACCCAACACATTGCTGAATGTACACCCAAGCTAAGAAATCTACAGTTCAGGAACTCACATTATGAGGGGACTGTGATAATAAAATAACAGTGATACAGTTTTTCGTTTGATTCTTTTGTAATGCTCTGGAGCTTCCTATATTTGACAAAACTGAGGGCTTCTGTTATGTGCTGCTGTCAAGTCCCAGTTTAGGGTAACCCTACGAACCAGCGATCTCCAGACCGTCCTGTCCTCAACAGCCCTGCTCAGCTCCTTAGGGTAACCCTATGAACCAGCGATCTCCTGTCCTCAACAGCCCTGCTCAGCTCTTGCAAACTCAAGCCTGTGGTTTCCTTTAGGAAGCCAATCCAACTCCTGCTTGGTTTTCCTGCTGCCTTCAACCTTTCCCAGCATTATGGGACGGGTTCTGCGAAGTCTTAGCGTGGCCCTGCCCCAATGCCCCAGGAATCCTCCCATTCCCGCCCCCACCAACGCACCGCAGCCCTGCGGGCCTCCCGTTTTATCAGGGAAAGAGTCCTCTGAGGTGTATTCTGGGTCTCTGGGCTTGGAGAAGGGAGTGAAACGGGGACTTTGACCTGCCTCTCTGGCTTTGGCCGAGCGCCAGCCCTCCTAGCCTGGGCGTCCAGGACAGCCTGGTGTGTGTGTGTGGAATGCAGGCCCTGTGTTAGTATTTCACAAGCTGGGAGGGGAAGTCGCGGGGCAAAGCTGGGTTCGGCCGAGGCGGGACCCGACCCTGTGTGTGTGTTTTTGTTTTCTTTCTCTGGATTCCCTCCCCAGCCTTTCTGCACTTTGTTGACAGTGCAGACTCAGCCAGGCCAAACCAGAGAGCGAGAGCAGAGAGTCCGGGGAGTCTTAACTTGCTGGACAAGCGTATTTGCTGAAGAAGGATTCAGCCTTGTTGCCATCAGAGGAAGAGAGGGGAAAGGCGAATAATGGATACAGCTGCACGACGTACATTCCCGCGCCTGGGCCTGGCGGCATGGCCGCCCCAGAACCGCCCTTGCTAGTTTGGGCAGCTGACGAGGGGCCGGGCGGGGCAGGCCAGGTTCCTGCTTCTTTGCACTTCTGGAATTCCACCTTAAAGTCCCTGCGTGCCAAAGGCCTCACCTGCTTAAGGTGGAACTTACCTCCTCTCCCGGCCCAAAAGCCGCCCGCCCGCCTCTTTTGCTCCCCGCCGGCTGATGTCAGTTGCTAGGGCGAGGGTGTGGCTGCCTAGGTGTGCGTGTGGGTTACCAGTAAAAGAAGGGAGTGCCCAGTCCTGGAAACCACGCTATGCTTGCAGGAGGACGGGGATGGCGTGGGGGGGAGGAGGAGGAACAAGAGGGCGTGTGTTGATGGGCCTGCGCGCCCCAAATGAAGAAACATTTTTCTGACTAATTGAGGCGACGAGGGAGGGGCCGGCAGGCAGGCAGACACCTGGACTCACCTGCGAATAAGCCATCTCCTCTCCTGGAGCGCCCACGCGCCACTTGGACTCGGAGAGGGTGCCGGAAGAGCAGCGGGGCTCCAGCCCCAGCCCCTGAGCAACTCCTTTTTGCCGGCGCCAGACGCGAGGGGCCTCAGGGACCTGGCAGGGCCAACCAGAGGAAGAGCCCAGTCCGTTTTTAAATGTGCCCCTTGCCCAGCTGCCGCCATGCAGGAAAATAACTTCTTTTTGTCGGCCCTGCAGCCGGAGAATGGCGTGTGCTCCTTGGCGTTGCCCTCCGACCAGCAACTGGACAGGAAGAACAGGGAGGCCCAGGAGAGCGAGCTGCTCAAGAGCGCCCGGGTGCAGGAGCAAGTCCGCATGAGGATGCTGCAGAAGAGCCAGGCGGGCCCCAGGCCCAACGGAGCCGGGCTGGACTACGCCGAGCTGAGAGGTAGGCAACCCAGGTGGGGCTGGAGGGAAGGAGCGGGTCTACCCCCACAGCTGGGGTGGTGGTTTTGGGAAGTACAGTTTTTGGGCTCCAACACCATAAAGTGATTTGACTCAACTGGTCTGCGGCCTTAGGACATCTTTCCAGAGCCAACGGTTGTATGATTGGGAAGGCTGCAAAAAGTGCACTCTTGTAGGTCCAGATAAACCCAAATGGCACAAGTGGACGCAGGTGAAGGCAAAGCCAGAACCCCCGAGATGGATTGTGCCAGCTTTGCTGACAGGGACAGTTGGCATTTTGCTGAGGGAGAAATCTTTAACAGCCTCTTTGTACGGTGATTTGGTGCAATTCTTCCAGTTTGGTCAGTGAGGCTTTTAAAAAAGCAAAGACTTGCATAAAGTCACTCACTGAGTTGGTGGGCAAAGTTAAAGGTGAAATCTAAGGCCTTGTGATTCAAAACTGCCCCTTCCCCTTCCTGCATCATACCCAGTTCTGTTTGTGAGGTTAATGTTTTTCGTTGTCTTCTCCCACACGATGCAGCTGCATTGGTAAAATGGTTTCTTAGAAAGGCCTGGAGAGAGGAGATGACTGGAGAGGAGTTTGCTCAGTTGTGCGGCTTCTTCCAGGAACATACTGTACTGTGTTGGTGTGGAAGGCTTAGGTATCAACTCTGTTTCCACTTACCTGAGAGCAATCCTCATTGAATTTGGAGGGAGGTATTTTGGTGTCGACACATGTAAAATTGCACTGCCCGTGTGGTAGATTTACCCCAGCTATGTTGTTGTGCTTTAGACAGAAGGAGAAGTTATTGCTAGCCAATTAACTGTGCCATTCCTGAGGCTGTCTCTACTTGAAGCTTTTATTCTTCAGTTATCCTGTCTTGTTCACAGAATTTCACAGAGTGGAGGCAGTGAAGGTCCAGTCCAAGAAGTCATTGCCCCTAATCTTCCTGTCTTTCCCAGCTTTCTTTTAATATGTATATATCCCAATAAAAAGTCTCTTAATTAGGGAAAGACAGAATTGCTCTACTGTGCTTTGTGTTTGGTAACCCTAGCAAAGTCTGTGTGGAAGCAAATTCGGATACCCTTTTTTACAGGGAGGTGGATCATTCAGGGATTTCCTCTTGTCCCTGACACTTAGAGACATCCAGGGTGGTCAAAAATTAGTCAAGACAGAGGAGGACTAAATCAGATAAGAGCAGAAATCTCTTCTCCACCAATCTGATTGTTTTGCTCCATAGGTTTCTATTTTTATCATGAGACTCACACCCCCAACCACTCAAGAGTTATTTACTCTGCAAGTACAGTAATTTCAGGCCTGCTTTACCTCCTTCTGTCTCTTTAACAATCTTTCTGTCATACTCCCTTCTGCCTGTAATTCCCTTATGCTAGCTGTTTTCAATCTAGTTTGGACAGCCACTCCTCAGCTTTTGGGGAAGTTGCCTCAGCCTACTTGGTTCTTCAGATAATTGGAATGCTTAACCTTTCTTGTTTTGAAGAAATAATTGCTTTAACATTAAGAGATAAAACCATACCCAACTCTTCTGAGCTGTCCTTGAGACAATTATGTGAAGAAGGCAATAGCAGTATGACTTTAAAAAAATATTTTTCCCTGTCCACACCATTTATCTAGTAGACTATGCCTAGATGGGCGGCATATATAAAAAATTTTTTCCCTGTCCACACCAATTATCTACAGCAGAATTGGGAGATCTTTGGCCCTTCCATTGTTTTGAAATTTATCTCCTAGAAGCCCCAGCTGCCATGGCCAATAACAAGGGATTATGGGAGTGGTAATCCAAAACATCACAAGGGGCAATGGTTCTGCAGCCACAGCTAGCAACATGGTGATCAAGCAGAAAGGATCACTTCCGCTGTTCATGGAGTTGTATTTTATTTCCACCCTGACCTAGTTACTCAAGATAAGTTATATGATAGACAGTCTGTTTTATAGAACTATAGTCTGGTACATAATTTTTAAGAAACTGATTTCACTGAACTAAGTGGGGTTATTTTCAAGCAAATATGTCTAGGAGCTATGAATTATGTGAGACTGGGAGTTCAATTCTACACATGCTTACTGAAGAAAAATGAACCCATTGAGTTCTGTGGGATTTACTTCCATGGAAGTGTGCTGTTAATCTCAGAGACAGAGCAATGAACAATGGCTATGCAGGAGAAGGATTTGAAATTGTACTTCCATAGGCTTACTCTTTGCTGTCCATTTTCCAATTCTTAACCTCATTAACAGAACAAGCATCTTTTCAACAGAAAGATTGGTCCTTGTCCTTTCCTGACAGAGGTTTTGTGCCTTTCACATCTGTGTGGCAGGCAAACTTTCAACAGATACAGTTTCATTGCTGTACATCCACTGTTTTGATTAAAGTTGCACCTGTTGAACACCTGTTGCTTAGAAGCTGGAAAAGGCATAAAGCCTCTTAAAGAAAAAAATGCACCTCTCTTCATCAGAATTAGTTTCCAAATCCTTCATTTTCTAAGTGGCACTAGTCTCAGTTATGATGTCATTAATTAATACGCTCTGCTGTGTCACACCTTAAAAAGTTACCAGAGTTTGGCAGAATCAAATGAGTATGCTTTAGTATCAGATTTGGGCATCTTAACTTAATTTCCATTTTTTTTATGTCTGTATTTGATTACCTGGATTGTAATTTAGTAGAATCAAATGAGTATCAGATTTGGGCATCTTAACTTATTTTCCATTTTTTTTCATGTCTGTACTGTATTTGATTACCTGGATTGTAATTTAGAAATTAGGAGAAGTTGCTGCTGATTACTTCCTCTGAGACTCAGTGTATTCTGATCATGTCTACACCCTGTTACTAAAGCCATGGAGAGATTCCAATATTGTACAACATATGATATTGTACAATATTTTGAGAAGGCTGGCTGTTTCCTTCTTAGTATACAGACTTCATAACTGGTGCAACTTTTCCTAAAATCCTAGTCCTAGTTTAGATTTTATTTCCCGAAATTTAATGAGGCACACTGAGCCAACTGTTCTTGTGTGTCTGACCAGCTTGAAATAATTCTTGATTCAGTTTAGATTTTATTTCCCGAAATTTACTGAGCTAACTGTTCTTGTGTGTCTGACCAGCTTGAAATAATTCTTGATTGATCATTTCCCACTTCTTAGCAGAGTTTAGAAATGTTATTCTTTGGGCCCCCAACTGAACATTGATTGTGATGATGCCTAGGGGATTCTGGAAGATATAATCCAAAAAAGTAGCTTCTTAGCAGAGTTTAGAAATGTTACTCTTTGGGCCCCCAACTGAACATTGATCATGATGATGCCTAGCAGATTCTAGAAGATATAATCCAAAAAAGTAGCTTTTCCCAGTCTCTAGCTTAGTGTACTTTGGCACATTGATCTCAGGGGGCTATACAAAATTAGCACGTGATGCATCCTCTGTTGCAAATCAAGGCTGCAATCCTCTACTGTGCAGTCTTTACACTGTGGCAGTGACGTCTGTGGGGGAAATGTTCAGTCCAGACTTTGGTTTGTATTTCTGCTGCCCCAGTGGCATCTCCAGCATGACCCAGTTCAAGGCTCTTCCATATGTCAGTGTTCCTCAGCCTATGAAGTGGGAATAATGAAGCATACTTAGAGTGAGAGGCCCTGTGATGTTGATGAATTTTCTGATTAGTTTGCAATACTCTGATGTTGCTGGATGTTAGCAGATCCAAAGCCACGAATTATGCTGTTGTGTATCCTTTGATGAGCATGGAGTTGAATTGCTGGAGGTTCAGCAGCTCTAGAGCGCAACTGGAGCTCCCTTTCTAAGTGACTGCTCCCTTCTTTTGATCTATCAATCTGAATTCTAATTATAGAGGCTTATAATCCCACACCCTGCCCTGGTATGTCAGTCCTGCCCTGTGATATGCCTTCCTGTATCCTGACAATGAAATGATTGGGCTGCAGAAAGGAGGTCCTAATTCCTGACCATAATCCTACATGCATGTCTCCATGGAAACTCTTGTGCTGTAGGTGGAGCATAAACTGGGTTGAAATCTTGTCTCTCCATAAATTCCTACAGGGGATGAAATGCTTTAATAGACAGATATTCTCCAGAGGGTCTTCTTGAATAATCCCAACTACATTCTGTATCAGACTCCAATAAATCTTCATTTTTTTTTACATGTGTATCTTACTTTTCTGCCATGGAATTCAGAGTGCCATGACATATGCAGGGTTTGTAGGGACAGGCATTAACCCCAATCTGAAACTGGCTGGATTTAGCAAGGCTACTGTACCATGTGCCTTTAGGGTGAATTCTCAGTCTGCTAGAGCTGTGCCTTTTTAAAAATAGAGGCAAGAATTCAGTCAAGCCAGCTCTTTTTCTTTCTTTCTTTCTTTCTTTCTTTCTTTCTTTCTTTCTTTCTTTCTTTCTTTCTTTCTTTCTTTCTTTCTTTCTTTCTTTCTTTCTTTGAAAGGTGGCACAGTACTTCATACCAACAATACTCCCTAGTGGTTGGAGGCGTCTGCTGAAGCTTCTTGGAACAAAAGCTTATTTTTCACAGCTTGGATGGATCTTCAAAATCCTATAACGCTTGAGGAGGATGCAGGACTGCCCTTCTGAGCCTACCTGACTTCAAATAAATGTGGTTAGATTTCTACAGTGAGGGACATGGTGGCGGTGCGGGTTAAACCGCAGCAGCCTCTGTGCTGCTAGGTCAGAAGACCAGCAGTCGTAAGATCAAATCCACGTGACGGAGTGAGCTCCTGTCACTTGTCCCAGCTCCCGCCAACCTAGCAGTTTGAAAGCATGTAAAAATGCGAGTAGATAAATACGTAGGTACCACCTCAGTGGGAAGGTAATGGCATTCTGTGTCCAGTTGCGCTGGCTACGTGACCATGGAAACTGTCTTTGGACAAACACTGGCTCTATGGCTTGGAGACAGGGATGCACCACGCCCTAGAGTCGGACACGACTAGACTAAATGTCAAGGGGAACCTTTAGCTTACCTTCTACAGTGAGGCTGCAA